TATAAAAGACCACGTAGAACCCGCCATACAGCAGTTCATCCTTGCCCCCTTGGTTGCGCTTAGACGGAAGTCGAAGCCACCTGTCAAAGGTGTTGGTGTCCTCTGTATCTGTGCGGAAATTTGTGATATAAAACATTTCTCTTGTGTAGATTCATTAATACAGAAGCTTTGATTTTGTTGGCTCTATAAGCTTTAAAGGATCATCTAAGCCAATCACTTCAACCTCGTCTCGTGGAGGGTCACGGCGAGTTCGCGAAAGTCCTCTGTTAAGTTGCACGAGGCAGGCTAGTGTTCTATTGGAATCGTCCACGCATAGTAGGCCGGTCGTAGTTCGTTAGTTGGGCTATTGGAATCGTTCCCACCTTAGTAGAACGGTCGTAGTCGTGTCCGCTATTGGAATCAGCCCCATTTAGTAGGCTGGTCATAGCTGTGCACAGTTCGCGAACCTACTGTGGTTCCCAGAGCAAGCTTTCATCTACCTAAACTCCGATACCTTGTGTCAGAGCTGTGCACTTTTAGTGGTTTTCAAACTACTGTAGGCTCCTAGAGGTTCTGATTGATCCTTTTTTGAGTTGATCCCGTCCCACGAAGTTCCATCTTACCTGTATACTGCAGGGTGACCCGAACTCAATTATCTCGCACTTCGTATTGGTTGTGTGTTGTGTGTGTAGTGTGCGTTAGTGATTTAGTGTGGTGCTGTTCGTTAGCATCTATCTGAGGACCTTACTGCATTTCAGCCTATACTTAGGTGCACCGTTTCAACGGGGTGGCGATGCACGGAATCAAAACGGAGGTGATAGCCAGTGCTCCGCTTTCATCTACTTCCCAAGGCTCGGTCGCAGCTTCTTCAGCAGCCGCGGGGTCGTCAAATTCGGTGCGCGACAGTGCGTCTGCGACTGTATTATCCTCACCTTTTACATATATGATTCTGTAATCATATTGGGACAAGAATTCCATCCACCGGGCCTGTCTGCGCGACAGGTCCTTTTGGGTGTCAAAGCTATCGAGCATACAATGATCTGTGTAGACCAAGAACTCGTTGCCCATCAGGTCTACACGCCAGCAGCGGAGCGCACGGATGATCGCAAGCAGTTCTTTTTCATGTATCGGGTAATTTAATTCCGCGCCTTTGAAACTCATGGAGTCGAAGGCTACAGGTCTGGCTGTTTCCCAGGTCTCCCCGTAGGAGAGTACTGCGCCTGAGCGTTTGTCGCTGGCATCGGCCGTCACAAAGATCTTATTGGCGCCGCAGTTGTCATGGTCTATTGTCGTAAGGCAGTCGCGGCTGACTACAATCCTCTTGATGTTCTGGAAGGCTTTTTCATGTTTTTTTGTCCAGGTAGGGAATTCTTTGTCACAGTCCTTTGTCGTCAAGGCCTCTAGCCCTGGGGTCCATTCAGCAAGGTTCGGAAGGAATTTTGCGAGGTATCTAACAAGCCCAAGGAAGGCCCTAACGTTCATGGAAGACTTCGGTTGGGGCCAGTTAACGATACGCTCAACTTTTTTGACATCTGCTTCGATACCCGACAACGAGATATGATGTCCAAGGAAGTCAAGTATTGGAATAGTTTCGTCTTCCTGGGATTGCAGTAAAGGTTCGCTTTCTTCAGTGCGTCGAAGACCATTCTGACATGTTTGTTGTGTTCCTTGACGTCGGCGGACCAGATGACGATGTCATCAAGGTAAACGTGGCAGATTTTGCCGATTAGCTCGCGTAAGGCGGCAGTTATGCGCCGTTGTTGGACAGACAGTGCGTTCTTTAGTCCCTGCGGCATCACCAGCCATTCATACAGTCCTAATGGAGTACTAACGGCTGTGTACTTAATAGAATCGGGGTGCATACGGGTTTGAAAAAAACTATCGGTGAAGTCAATCGTTGACCAAATTTTCTCTTTAGCGCAGTCGGCCAAGATGTTGTCGATGCGGGGTAGTGGGAATGCGTCTCAAATTGTAGTCACATTCAATGGCCGGAAATCATTGACCCAGCGCGGCAGGACAGTCTTGTCTGCCTTTGGAATCAAGAACGCGGGTGATGCGTGGGGGGAGGTGGAAGGACGGATACGTTCTGCGTCGAGGTGTGCTCGTATCAGGGTTTGCCACGCATCTTTATATTTCCGGGGACTTTGATATGAGCGCGACTTTGATATGAGCGCGTCTCAATATTGCGTTCGGCATCTTTTACTTTTATCTCACAATAGACATCTGAGGGTAGCATACTGGCCTGGGGCATCGGTTCAAATAATACAGGGTATTCTTCATGTATTTTGTCGCCGCGCTTGTTCAATTCGTCCCAGTGAGCGAGGGTTTCAATGCGCTCACGGACAGCGGCAATGACATCTACCTCCTTGATGTGTTCAAACAGGTTTTTGGATTCCATTTCTGATCGACGTTTCTCACAGACCGTAAATAGTTCGGTCGCGACGGCCTTACAGTTGTCCTTAATACGCTTGAGTTTTTCGCGCAGTTTCGTAATTTTTTTCTTAGGTGCTGGTGGGGGCGGTGGATTCAGGATGTCATAGCCATTTTTTTTATCAATGGCTGAGCGAGCGGCGTGGTCTATGACAATGGAGTTACGGGAGAGCCATGGTAGGCCTAATATTACGGGGGAACAGAGGTTCGACGCCACGAGCGCGCATATTGTAAGGGAAGACCAGGATTGGTCTCTGGAAAGTAAATGTAGTTTCACGTATTCGGTCAAGTGTGTGGTGGGTTCGGCGTCGGAAGCGATCACGAGCGAGATGGGTTCTGGTTTATGTAATTTGAAGCAGCGAAGATCAAGTTTGTCGACGAGGTCGGAGTCAATCCGGACTAAATGTGCGCCGTCGTCGATCAGTACGGTGATTGGTAGGGGGAGATTAGACATAGGACCCTCCACCAGACAGTCCCAGTGGAGGTGTGGGACGCGGTACGGGAAGGAATCGGAACTCACCGAGAGCTCATCATCGTCATCGCTGTCGTCAACGTCGTCAACGCCAGGCATCACAACAGCAACGGCCCTGCCCTTCAACGCGGTCTTCGTGCGATTGATATCGGCCTGTGTGAGCACTTGGTAGTTCGTTGGGTCGGGAAAGCCGTTGGGACAAGTCTTGGTTTGATGTCCAATGAAGAATTTACGGCACTTGTTGCACCCGTCATTCGCACGGAGGAGCTCGCGCTCCTCGGCGGTGAGCGGGGGGCAGTTGGTGGAGGAGGGCGCGGCAGTGGACAAGGACGACGTGCCAGTGTTACCCTTGCGGGAGTCTTCAAATGGCTTCTTCGGGGCATGATCAGCGTCGTCGACGCTCGAGCTCGGCGCCTTGTGTTTGCTGCTGTTGCCATTGCTACTCTCCTTCTCTGCCTTCTCGGCGAGCATGGTTACGATGCGGTCGTCCTTGTACAGCCGGATCTCGTCAATCTCGATGACAGCTTTAAGCCAATCATTGAACTTGTCGTCGGAGATCTTGGGGGCCGTGGCATGGCGAGTGTAACGGTGGCTGAGATCGGGCAGCATCCCGGCCTCGATAGTATGACGGAGGCGCTTGTCGTCGAGCGCCACGCCGGCGCCTGTGGAGACGTCGTCGGAGAGGAGGGCGGCAAGGGACTGTAAGCCGGTGGTCCATTCATCAAATGTCTCGGAGGGCTTCATGCGCGAGGAAAGAACCTCGGTGCGAGTGGCTTCTTGCCAGTTTGCCCTCAAGAATTTTTTGCGGAATTCTGTCATGAAATCGGGAAAGGAAAGAGCAAGGAGGCGTTTGCGCTGGGCAGCGGGACGAGTCCAGTTATTTATCTTCATGTCCTCGAAGCAGCCCAGGACAATGCCGACCTGCTTTTCGGGAGCAGTGTCTTTGTGTGCGAAGTAGTTGGCGCAGGCATCTTGGAATTCGGAACAGGTGAGCGCCGTGACTTCCCTGCGGTGGAAGGTAGGATGTTTGCCGGTCTGGCGCGTAACGGTGGCTGTCTTGGAGGAAGACACGAGGACTTTACGGCTCGGAGGGGATGGTGATGGAGACAAAGTGTAGTAAGAGGAGGAGTCTGAAGAGTACGTCCTCTTCTGTTGTGACGGCGGTGGGGACGGAGTGCTCGGACGAGGTGGTGAGGGTGTTTGATGCGCCGAATGCGATGGGGACAGAATGATGGCCTCGATTGGCGTCAGTGGCGACTCAGGTTCTGGAGATGATTCCTGGGCCCTCTTTGCGCTGCGCGTGGTGAGGGGTTTTGGGACGGACGGTGTTCGTCGAGACAGCTTGAGCGAGGGTTATCGGATGGCTATCTGATGTGGCTGTGCTTCTCGCTGGCAGCTGCAGATGGACGGTGAGTGAGTTGGATTGGCTCTAGAGATGCAGGAGCACCGCTGGGAGGTCAGTGGGGGATGGAGTTCGCCCATGTGGGAAACGCGGGGAATCGCCAAGTCTCTGCGATCAAGATGTGGAGATCTTGATACGCAGACGGTGGGTATTGTTCAAAAAGTGGAAGCTCACCTCGATAATTAGAGGGGAGAACACTTCAGAGTCGAAAGTCAAACAGAGAGAACAATAAAACCGGGCTGTGGTTCCAAGAAGTCGAGAGTACACATATAAGATGATAGTAAAGTCCAAGAAGAGATCGTGACGTGTCACAATTGTCACACATAGGTATATCCATCAGTCGTAAATCCGTTGGCGGGTTTACACATAGGAATCGAACAACCAGCCAAAACTATCGCCATGAAAAAGAAGGGTTTTCTTCATAATGGCTCAGCGGAGAATCGAACTCTGAACTCTCCGTAAAGCATACCGCAAACTACATAGGAATGCGGAGTGTGATACCATTACGCCACTGAACCGTTCAAAAACGCGCCCTATCTTCTTACTCGATGGACAAAAAGAATGTAAGGCCCGTCGGAGATTCGAACTCCGGTCCCTCCATTATTTCAGTTTCCCGCCAGCTATGCGAACAGAGTGTGTTACCACTATGCCACCGGACCATGCGAGTGATACAAAGGTCCGGTAAGAAGTGCACGAAAAAGGAATGGAAAAGAGGGATGACTCGACGGAGGATTGAACTCTGGACTTCCTGCAAAAGACGCGCTTATGCAAGAACCATAGCAGGATGCGTTACAGTTACGCCATCGAGCCGCAAATACCAAACAGCCCGAAAGGATGGAATGAGAACTCCAGGTAATCAAAAAGGTGGGTAGCATGGGAAAGGGCTCGATGGAGGATCGAACTCTGGACTTTCCGTAAGTAGTGTGTGACATGGTGTTATGCACTACCACGGTGTCACGGGTACGGGTGTCCCGGGTGCGGGTACGGTATCGGATGCTGGGGAAGCCCGCGATACCGTGAATATGCTCACAAACCCGCGGGTTTTCCAAATTTGGCAAAATCACTCATTCTACCTCTCCTGCTTCTTATCAGCTTTCCAATCATATCTGAAATTGATAATACTATTATTATACGATTTTACATCCATTTATATGCTCTTATATCAATTTATATCCCACTTATGCCAATTGTTTCAATTTTATAGAGTTGTGTCAATTAGCCAGTTTTTAGTGAGATGTTGGTGCTAGAAAATACTTAGGAATGCTCTATACTACTAACAGGAAGTATGCGATCCATATTCAGCTTGTAATGTGCCCAGGGAGGTAAGAGAAACCATCACCTTCCTATTTTGGATGAAAGCGTAGTGCCTTTCCCCAGAAACTAACATATACAAATAGGCCATGATGCAGTGATGTTGGCTCGTACTGGGGCATCTGGGCACTGAATAATACCGGAAAAATTCGTAGAAAATCATAGACATCGCTAGGAATACGTCCCAGAGCATTATAACCTGTCAAACATACTCAGTATACCACAGTATCAATAACTGCGGGTTTTTCGCGAACCCACGGTTATTTACTGTACCCGCAGGTACGGGTGGGTCATGGGTATGGTGTCACGGGTCACGGGTACGGTAAGGAGTGCTAGGGTCACGGTACACTATCGAGCCGTTGCAGGCGGAAGCCGGATAGGAGGAGAGTTAGCACCGGACATGGAGTGTCCGAGACTAGGGCCAACAAGTCCGGGTTGCGGAATCGGTGCCTGACTGAAGATGGTGCGGGTATGGGTTCACGGAGTTCGGGAATGAGTCACAAGTGAACTCCGGGGCGGAGGAGTGTGCGAGCGAGCAGATATGGGACACAAAGGAACAACTCCGGCACAGCCTTGGGCTGGGGTATAAATACTACAGCTAGTCTACCAAAATATCATCTCAGTTTCGGCCCACATCCTCACCTTCTAAGTCTTAGCCAGCTTAGGAGTAGCTAAATATCCGCCCCGAACATCACCTAGAGGTCACCCGGAGTCGAGTTACACAGTAAAGCGACCTCGGTACTCCCTCGCCGCCGTCAGACAGCGAACGGAGTTTATATTTCGGCATAAAAAGTTCAGCGCTGAAGAAATCGAACCGTCTATTCCTCCCCTACGTCAATAGGGCAGTGAAATCTCTCAAACAGCACAACGAGGTCTTCGGAGTTCGTGTGTAGCTGCTAGCTAAGGAAGTCGGCGGTGCAGAGCCTGCAGGAAGTCACCTTCAGCAAGCAAACGGGTGAGAAGTAGAGAGAGGAAACTCCGTAGAGGCACAAAGAGGGGTAAAGGGAGGAGGAATTGCAGGAATGTTATAGCGAACACATAATTCCCCCGGTCTTACGATCTACGACTCAAAGATACTTCGGACGACTGTGGTTCGTGGTCCAAGAAGCCCCTAAATCCATATTTCCCCTCGGACTTGACGAATTGGATCCCACATCGCCTTCCGAAGCTCCTCCTCCAAGGAAGTGTAGAACAGATTCAATCTCCGTTAATCTGAGAAGGCTAATTAGGCATCGGAGTTCGCTCGGTCCACCCTAGCTAGCAGGATTTGAATGGACTGTTCAATCCTTGTACGGATATCCCCACCAATATTATTTAAACCTCCCTACGTACTTGTCTACCGCGACAGAACAAATTCCCCCTAGAGGACGAGCAATTATACATAGCCCGGATCTCCCCACCATCTGGCAGTTTAAAGCACCGCAGTCCGCATCACAACGGGCATACTGCAATGTTTTCATCCCCATCCTCCGCGTCATTGGGACCAACACCTCCCTTTCCTCCTGTTTCCTCGTCGTCACTGGCACCAGGGCCAGTAGGTCCTTCAGGATCCTCATCGTCACCGTCTTCACCACCACTGCCCAACTGACTTAAATCCCAATTGGGGCTCGAGCTGCGCACTTCAGCGAGACGAAAGATGTGGCTTCCCTTCGCTTTCTTGGGCATGAGTGGTGCCATGAGGTCGTAGTACGGCCACCCCGCATTTGCGAATCATTTAGTGTCGGGAAACTTCGCGACGTAGGCGTCCCCAAGTCCCTTGCGTGGCCGGAGTTACATCGACACCCGTGGTATCATTCCAAGACCAGCCGGATATACCCTTGATTGTATCCACAAGGTTCCAGAGTTTCCTGAGCTATAGCCAGATAAAACATTAGGAATAAAGCGGAAGAAGGATTGGCAGTGACGCACCGTCATGTATTTTTGACCACATCTTCTCGCGTTTTTGGGCCCACCCCTAGTGCGGATGGCATTGAGCTTTTCTGTAAGGGCACGGAAGGTCTTTGCTTTGAAGTTCCCTCTGTCACTGGCCTCCGACACATGCTCGACAAGATACACGACCATGAATTTCTTGTCGGGGTTGGTCCAGGCAGCATTGCCACTATCGGGGAGAGCTGGGGGTGCCGGTTGAGTATCAGATGTGGGCTGACTGATGGCGCCAGTTGGGGCCATTGGAACGACGAGTCCACGACAAGCAAGATTAAAAAAAGATGTGTCGAGTCACACAAAGTCACATTCATCACATGGTACTGTACATTCCCACGTATACTCAATAAGGAAATATGCACATATGCATAAGCGCGGATTCTGGCAGCCGAACAGGCTCTAACAACCTCTTAGCCATGCAAGACATAAGAACATTCAGCATCAAAATCATAACCCATGTAAAAATTACTAAAGCTTCATGTCATGGACCACTTTATTTTATCCCTCTCTACCCTGTTTCTGAATTAAGGTTCCATAACCCAATCATCTGCTGAGGCTTCATTACCTTCTGGTTGAGAAATTGCCATTACCAGCCTGCCATTTCTGAACTTATATTGAAGAAAGGAAATGAATGCCTAGATAGCCACCTCAAAGTTGGTCATCATTTAGATAGAAAGGAGTGCATACCACCACGTGCTCGTGGGGTGTCTTTGTTGCCTCCTGGATTTGGCTGCCAGCACATTCATCCATGTAGTTTCCATTTATAGCAAGTTGTTATATCCGTATGTCCTGAACTCCCAACGAGCTCCGTCAATTCCGGGATGTTCCAGCATCCGGATCTATGGACGCCGCCCGAACTGGGTTTTCACGCAATGAAGGATTACTGAGCATTTCCCATTTTTAACTTCCTTATTTTATCGCACTCAACTCGAGCGGACTTCACCGCTCCGCAAACCTCACTTGCAGCTTCTTCCGTTTCTGATCACTATATATAGAAATGGACTTTACGGCCGTACGTAATTATGACTTAGTATAAATATTCCATATGCCTCTATGTAACTTCAGTTTGATTATTAACGTTCTTGACTATTCGTCTTGTCCTGAACCCTGCCTTAATCTTCTGTCCTCCGGAGTTCCGACTTTCATTGGAACGTCTCCTACTCTCGCCAGTCCAGGTAGTACGCACACCCTTACCCTCCTGTGGTGTTTGCAATTGATCCGAAACTTCCGCTCCACCGTCATACTCCGGCACCGGAACCTTCCGTCAACGGATCATTCCTCCGACTTCGACTTCAGGATTTAATACAAGTCCTCAATGTATTGTGATCTATTATTTGGCACTGAATCTGAGAAGTGTCAAAAATGAAATCCTAATGGTCAGATGACTAGGATTTCATGAAATTATTACCTTTTCAGGATGTTTGGCCATGACATTTGATTGAAATTTACGGAGGCGGAAAATTTGAGATTTACCGGCTTGGCAAATATCAGGTGATTGCCAAGAAATTTTAAAATTTTCCCACAATTTTCCACCATGGTAAATCTCAGGCAAATCACAAGAATGTATGAAATATTCTTGAGATTTACCGGTCTGGTAAATAACCAGTAATTACTCAGATTGTATAAAATTACCTTAAGATTTTCCCATAATTTACCGGCCCTGTAAATTGAACGTTGCCCCCAGTGTATGTAGATACAGTGCCCGCAAAATGGACACTTTTGTCCACTTTTGGCTGTTTTTGGCTGTTTTCGCCCATTTTTCGCCAGTTTTGCTCATTTTGTGGGTGCGATATCTCAATATTGCCTGTATATTTTTGGCTCATTAAAAATGTAGGATGAGTGGTTACACCCCAACCTTCAATTTGGATGAACCCACATCTCCAGAAAAAATCCTGAGACAAGTTATAAAAATTGACTTTCCAGTCTTTTCGGCATTTTGGCCCAACTGATGGCACATCATTATATATTGATCACACAAAGGCTTGGAACAAATGCCAGGTTCTCCTCAACTATTTCACAACTTGGTTGATCCAGAAATACTGACTGGATCTTGAGATATTCATGAAACAAGCACCTGACATTTCTTTTGTCCACTTAGTGTAACAAAGATTCAAACTTCAGATCCTCTGTAATAATGGGGCTCAGCTTCTACCCTATCAGAGTGCGTACCACTATGCCATTAGGCCATGGAGGTTACAGGAGGAATGGCTGGCCAAGTAGGGTGCTTCCTGGTATCGGAAGGTGACTTATGGGAGAAATGATGGAACCACTGATTCTTGGAAGTTCAACATCCCTGAGAATGCCAAGGCAAGGATGGGAACTTAAACAGAAGTACAAGGGGACCAAAGGACTAGAACAGACAGAAGATAGAAGAGAACTGAGCTTTTGCAGGCTCCTGTTAAATGCTGAGTTGCGTGGGCACTCGGGACTCCGAAGGGAGGAAGGATGGAGGTCTGAGGGGCTACAACAGTTGTCTCGCAGGCACTACAGAGAGTGTGCGCCTACCCGGCTTGCGGACCACAACACGAGGGAGATGAAGTGAAGTGAAGGGCCAGATGAGTGAGTTGACTTGAAGGGAAGACCCAGGTAGTGTTCAAGGAAAGAGTACTATAACAATTGATTTCCAAACTGAAGTACAAGATGGAAACTAGGCTGTCTATATACTACTACGACTGTAAGCAGTATTGGTCATAAGAATCGTGGTTTGTAATAGAGGTAGCAATTGTAACCAAGTTTGTCATGCAATAGACAGCGAACCATGCGGTGTTAAATCCCAAGTTGAAGTCGGAGGAATGATCCATTGATCGGAAGGTTCCAGTGCTGGAGATCGGAAGGCAGAGCGGAAGATGCGGATCAATAGCAAACACCACAGCAAGGTAAGGGTGTGCATACTACCTGGACTGGCAAGAGTAGAAGCCGTTCTGATGAAAGTCGGAACTTTGGAGGACAGAAGTCGAAGAAGGAATCGGGACAAGACGAGTAGTCAAGAACACTAATAATTGCATACGGAATATTTATACTAAGTCATAATTATGTACGGCTGTAAAATCCATTTCTATATTAAGTAATCAGAAACGGAAGAAGCCGCAAGTGAAGTATGCGGAGCAGTGAAGTCCGCTGGAGTTCAGTGCAATAAAATAAAGAAGTTAAAAATGGGAAACACTCAGTAAACCTTCATTGCATAAAAACCCAGTTCAGGCAGTGTCCGAGGTTTCGGATGCCGGAACCTCACAAAGGTACGGAACATCCCGGAGGTGATGGAACACATCGGGAGTTCTGAACATATGGATATAACAGCAGTTGAGTCAGTGAACCATGTGGAAGAGGAATCAAACCATAGGATCATGAAGTGGGGTCAGATAGGATTTTGAGGTGGGGTCAAATAAGACCATGAGGTGGGTCAAAACCATGTGGAAGATGAGTGAGACAATAGGATCACAAGGTGGGGTCTGATGATGGAATCCCCAGATGGAATGAGTCCAGACTCTGGTTCTGGGTTATGTCCAGAACGGATATAACAGCTCCCATAGAAGTATCAGAACCATGAAAAGGGCTAGGCATGCGACAGAATGGCTGTTTTTGGCAATATAGCAGTATCAGAGGTGAGAGGAGGGGAGAGCCTCATAAGAAGGAGCTAGTCAGAGGCATGAGGAGTCCATGGAATGGTTTCTGAGGTGCAAGGTATAAAGGTTAATGATGAATGCATCTCAGTTTGAGGCCCACACCAACCTAGGGAAGGCAGTGTGCCACCCCACATAGAACTCACAGGTCATCAGAGGGCTGGTTGCACGATGAACCACCACTATACCACAACAATGTCTTTGACACTGTCACAGTTTTTAGCCTGAGTAACCTTCTGCTCAGCGCCATTTTAAAGAATCCCTCTCTACGATTAAGTAGGGTAGTTTAAAAACCCTCAAGCAACACCACCGGCTACCAACAGAGGTCAAGTGTGTAGCCACTAGCTGTGTAATTGATTAAAGGCACCTTCAGCAAGCAACTTGGCACGGAAAGGAGGGTGAAAGGCTTTGTAGGGCATAAAGAAAAGAGGTAGAAAGGAAGGAGTTGCATGCCCAAGGAACTATGCTACTTCTGCCCTCTGAGATTTATGATTCACAAACCTCTGAGCTCACACCAGCGACTCAGAGGGGTACAAAAAGAGAAATACCCTGGCTGCCCAGGAGAAAGGAGTCCACATTATGTCAAAGAAGCCCTTCTTCTACTTCCAACTGTAGAGCAAGATGCCCCTGCTATAAAACCGGAAGGCTAACTACCGCCAACTTCCATCAACAGTAGTAGCGCCCTCTAATGGACCTTCTGCTAGAGTTACTTATCCTCCTTCTTAAATACATTTTGCTGCAACCGCTAGGAGACTTCCAGCAACAGAATTAATTTCTCTCTAGAGGACGAGCCATCTAAATTGCAGACTACCCAAGGCACCCAGCCCACTTGGTGTCTCCAAGAACTGCAGTCCACATCACAGTGGGCACTGTATACCCTCGACCACCATGTCCTCAAATCTGGCATTGCCCGATTATGCAGATGTCTGTCATGAATGCTGAGTAAATTCACTTGGTGATTTCCTGAACTTCAAGTACATATATATGCTAAGTGCTCTAATTGAGAACAAACACACTGTTGTTCCTCTGCGTAGCCTACTCTCTCTACCCTAAAAATTCTATATGAGCAGGTCAAACCTTTGCAAGAGCTGTCTAAAGAATTGAAGTAATTTCATCCTGATTCTGTGCAAGGGAAACAGGTTGAACATGTAAACAGGAAAAGGAGGAGGCTTGTTTCGACGATAAAAAAATTACATAGCAGACAAGGCAGTGGGCCGTCCCGCTTGTCGGCCTTACCTACTTTATTCCTGGTTCCGGCTTTAGGAACCAGGTCTGAAAACCAACTTTGTCTGTCCCCACTTCTAGTGACTGCATAATCACCCAAGTTCACGTGTTCAACTCCCAAAGGTAGCACTTCTTTATAACTTCAAGACAGGCTCCATCTAGCGACTGAATACAGCCCAGCTGCAGTAATTTGAGTAAATACCAGTTTCCACAGGCCATGAGGAGCGAGGTTGGCAATGAGTGGCACATAATCTTGAGGCTCTTCTGTTTATTTTAACATTTTGCTGTTTCCAGTGTCCAACTGCCACGAGGAGTGACTGAAAGTCGGTGAGCGGCGCTCATTCTCAACATGAGTGCAATACTCAGTGACTCAGCTCTGGAGGATGCCCGGAGGGCAATTATTATACTTATAAGGTCATGCCATCTATAATGGCCCAATGGTCTAGACGTATGATACACGCTTCGGGTTTCCCCGGTTACTTCCGTAACTCTTATGTGTGTGGTCCCGGGTTCAATTCCCGGTTGGGCCCCTTTTTAGCTCTTTTTTCGCTTTGCCAAGATATGTGAACTCTTTATCACCTTTCCTCCGTGACTGTGAATATTTTTGGGATTTTAGGTGCAGTCGTTCCTGCAGGAGAGTCGCCGGAGCATTGCGCAACCTTCCATGATTGTTTCGCGGGGGTACTCTACACACTCGAAATAATATTATTCAGATCTACTACAACTCGTCAATCCCACTCCTCGTCGTCCTCCTCGTCGTCGCTATCTCCAAGCTTCTTGTTGCGCAGCATGAGCGCCTCGGCGAGCGCGGTCGTCAAATCGCCGCCGCCGCCGCCACTGGTCGGGGAGGTGGGTTCTTCGGGGGCCGCAGGCGTGGAGCGCGCGGGCGAGGCCGAGGGGTCGGTCTTGCGGAGGGAGTGCACGCCCTTGCCCTGGATGGATTCGAGGAGCGCGTTGCGGCCGGGCTGCGGGGGTGGGAGGCCCGCGATGGGGCTGCCGGGGCCTGAGGGCGGCGGTGGCGGCGGGGGCGGGGGTGCGCCTCCACCTGCTGGCGGGGGCGGCGGCGGCGGAGGTGGCGGCGGCGGGGGCGGAGCAGCACCGCCGACGGGAGGGCGGGGCGGGGGCGGGGGGCCCGGGGGCGGAGTGCTTGTCGGGCGTGGCGGGGGTTGCGGGACGCTGGTGGTGCGCGCTGCGGGGCGCGCAGGAGGAGGCGGCGGACGCGGAGCTGCGGCTGCGGCGGGACGGGCAGGCGGGGGCGGAGCCTGTGATGTACGGCTGCGGGGTGGAGGAGGCGGAGGTGGGGCGGGGGCGGCGGCGGCAACAGAGGACGTGCTATCCGTTGGGGCGTGGGTACGCCGCGATGGCGGAGGGGGTGGTTTGGGCTTCTTGGGCTCCTTCTGTGCCTGCGCCTGCTGTGGGTGTTGGCGGACATAGTCCTTGATAAAGTCCATCTCCTGGGCGATGATCTTCTTGTCAATGCCCGAGTTTTCAAGCTGGCCGAGGAACGCGGTCCACGATGGGTCGACGCCCGTGGACGTGAAGCCCTGGTCCTCGTCGTAGCCCATGTGCGCAACGTGCACGAAGGAGCCAGCGGTCGGGCCCGAGATCATGGATATATCGATTTTGCCACCCTTGCTGGCCTTTTTCTTCTTCTCCGAGGCCGGTTTGGCTGGGCCACACTGTGAGCAGGGCGATGCGCGGCAGAATGCAGGTCGGACTCACAGCTCTTGGAATCCTTCTTTGCAATGACCTTTTTCCAAAACGTCCTGGCCTCGCGCTCGTCGGCAAAGACGAAGCCCACCATGCATTCCTGCAAGACAATGATGAACAACAAGATAAGAAACGTCGGGTGGGCGGACTTGCATCTGCGGCAAAGGAATGGAAGAAGGCTCTGTCTGGGAAATACTCCAGGCCGTCGTAGAGTTCGTACTCCCAGATGACGCCGCGGGTGCCGGTGAGGTCGACGAGACGGAAGGCATAGGCATTCTTTGCGTTGTCCTTGACAAAGGCCAAGGCGCCCTGCAAGCCCGCATAGGACCATTCGTCGGGCTGGGGGTAGGCATAGTAGATGCGGGCGAGGGCAGCATATAGGATTTTATTGCTGGCTGTGGGGATTGCGGCCTTGACCTTGTTCTTCTCGTCTGTGTTGAGGGTTGACTGGGAGGGCATGAGGGCGAGAGGCAAGGAGGAATGCGCAGTGCACTGCCTCCTACCTGCTTGCACCATGACCACGCTCAGCCCGTCCCAGCAGGCTGCGCTGGGCCAGCTGCGCGATCTCACCAACGGCGGCGACGACGACGTGGCCGTCGCAATGCTCTCCTCTGTCGACTGGGACGTCCAGCGCGCTGCCGAGCTCATCTTTGGCGCTGCCCCGCCCCCACCTCCGCCGCCGCCGCCGCCGCCAGTCCCAGTCGCCCAGTTCGACATCGACGACAGCGACCAGTACCAGCCCGTCGTCCCCCGCAACACCTCCTCCTGGTCCTTCTCGTTCCTCGCTCTCCCGTTCCACTTGCTGTCCACCCTCTTCCGATTTGTGTTTGGCGTCCTACGCATCCCGCTTCCTCGCCCGTTTGCCTTCAACCTCGCCTTCTTCCGCCCACGGCGCACTTCCCCACGCGGCGACGGTGGTGCTGACCGCTGGGTGCGCGAGCTCGAGGAGGAGACCGGCGCGCAGTGCATTAGCGCGTCGGGCGTCAACGCACCGGGAACAGGCGCCGGGCCCTCAACCCTCACCCACCGCGGCACCAGCGACCGCAAGGTGCTGCCAGACTTTATGCTGAGCACATACGAGGAAGCTCTGCGCGTGTGCCAGCGCGACTTCCGCATCGGCTGCATCGTCCTCGTCAGCGAGGAACACGACGACGTCCCCGAATTCAAACGGTCAGTGTGCCCTTGTTCACGCAGTACTGCTTGTATTAATACTTTCACAGAACGACGCTCACAGATCCGGCGCTTGTGCGTCTCCTGCACACCAACGACATCGTCGTCTGGGGCGGCGACGTCCGCGACCGCGAGGCGTACAGCGCTTCCCTCAAGCTCCAGGCAACCACGTACCCATTCGTCGCGTTCCTCGCCCTCCAGCCCCGCCGCACGCCCCGGTCCAGCTCGTCCTCGTCCAGCACATCCACCCCGCCCACCCTCACCGTCTTGTCCCGCCACCAGGGCCCCCCGAGCAGCGCCACCTCCCCCGCGACGCTCGCCGCCCATCTGGAGAACCAGCTCCTCCCGCGCGTGAACCCCTTCCTCGCGCGCCTCCGCGCAGCCCAGCACACGGCCGCCGCCGACCGCGCCCTGCGCGCCGAGCAGGACCGCGCCTTCCGCGAGACCGCCGACCGCGACGTCGCGCGCATCGAGGCCCTCATGCAAGCCGAGGCACGTGCCGCCCGCGAGGCCGAGGCCGTGCGCGCTGCGCAGGAGGCCGAGGCGGCGCGCCTTGCGCTCAAGGCGGCGGAGCGGCAGAAGCTGGCGGCAGAGCGCGCGGGGTGGCGGCACTGGACGCGACGAGCGCTCGCGGGTGAGGCCGAGGACACGCAAGGCGTGCGGCTCGCGATCCGCCTGCCGGACGGAGGGCGTGTCGTGCGGCGCTTTGCCGACAAGCGCACGCTGACGGCGCTGTACGCGTTTGTCGATGCCCAGCTCGCGGGCGCTGATGGCGAGGAGGCTCCCGAGGTGTCCCCCGCGGGCCACCGGGCGGCGGACGTTGAGCGCGCGATGGAGGAACAGATCGATGTTGCGGGAAATGCGGACGCGTGGTGGGGCTTCCAGCTGGTGCTTGCCTATCCGCGACGCGAGATCCCGTGGGCGCGTGGGACGGTTGACCAAGTCGATTGCCTGAAGGGTGGCGGGCAGCTCGTTGTGCAGATGCTCACGACTACAAACGAGGCACCAAGGGACGGCGAGGAGGACGACGATGGATACGTCTCGGAGGAATAGAGTAGAGGCTTTCAAGAAAATTAGTAGTCCGGTCGTAATATTACAGTCTCTGGTACAAGATGGAGCTACTGGCTAAGAATCGTTCTGACGAACGACTCGTAGTTGACGTTGCCGTCCCTGCAGCAAGTGAGCACAGGCCGAGAGGAGGACAAAAGCGGACGCACGCGCCGATCTGCACGCCCTTGAGCAGCTCGTCGACCTCCTGGTCGGTCATCTTCTCGCCCAACTGCGTGAGCACGTACCGCAGCTCGCCCGCGCCAATGAACCCGTTCCCTTCCTTGTCGAACACCTGGAACCCACGGATGAACTCCTCTGCAAACACAAACTCGTTAGCCACCACCATCCGAGTCCACGACGCAGCAGCAGCGCGCACCAGGCGTCCCCGCGGGCTTGAACCCGTCCGGGCGGTTCAGGATCGCGAGGAAGGTCTTGTAGTCGACTGCCAGGAAATCGTAAATAATGCGCACACGGAAAACAGGGGACGGGGACCCGCACCGTCGCGCGGGGCGGCGGCGACGATCTCGGCGACCTCTGACTGCGTGGGGTTCTGCCCCAGCGCGCGCAGCAGGTCGCCGAGCGTCTCGCGCGGGACGGCGCCGGTGCCGCGCTTGTCGAACAGGGCGAATGCCTCTTTATACTCTGCGGCTCGTCAACAACGCTGCGGCAAGGAAATCGGGGAGCGCAGCGGAATACCTGCGTTGTCGCTCTGGTGCCCGTCAGCGCAGCACGGGCAGGGTTCGAGAGATGAGACTGACCATTGTGATCGTGGATGGTGCAAAGGACGTAGCAAACTTTATTTGGCGTCATTTACTGCTTGCGAAATTCAAGTTTCCCGGAAAAAAATAGCAACAGTATATTCGACTAGATAGATACGATACAGAGGAAAAAACGAAAGCGAAAAGATCACACAGGAGTATGCCGTCTGTACTGGGCTGAAAAGAACGGTCAGCGGTGAGTTGGCCAGCCACGAAGATGAAAACTGACCAGAAACCATCGCGTGGTCTCGCTCGTACGGCTCCAGGGTGACCTGCTCCAGCGGCTTGAACCGGGCTTCTTTTAATTTTTGCAGCTCCGCGGCGAAAATCACGTCGGGAGGTGAGGTCGAGTCAATGCAGCTGGCTTTTATCGAAATCACGACGTGGCCCTGGTCCTTGAGGAAGCTTTGCGCGTTCAGGATCACAATGCGGGCTTGGTCGGGCTGCGCAACGTCCGCGAAAATCACATCTACTGTTGAGATGAGCATGCGGTATTTGTTGGGCAGCCGGGCGTCTTCGACGATGGCTGGAGCGTTTTGTTAGCGCTGGAGAATAGAGAGAAGCAATACATCTGCATACGGATAACGTTTGTCCGTTTCTTGGCCATGTTGATCAGGTCACGACCTGACCGGGGGGAGAATTCAACGGCATACACGACGCCTTCCTGCCAAAAAATAAATACACAAGAAGATTCAGAGTGAAAAAAAGACGTACAGGGCCGACAATGTCAGCGACATGGCTGACACTCGTCCCGCTCGCAGCGCCGAGGTACAGAACCTTTTTGCCAGGGTGGATGTAGATGTTGTCGAGACCGCCGAGCACACCAGCAGCGAGCTTGCTCC